AATGCTATCATACGACCTGACGATTGGATGATTTGATAGAGGGGCCGTAATTCCCGCAGTTGACGATAATGAATCTTGCATGACGGAGTTCCTTGGCGAATGGGGGGACTATACTAGCATGGACATAATACGAGATACCCCCTGGGCATGATAGACCGTTACCGTTTGAAATTAATTCTATTTACAAGGCTGATACCGGAACAGAAGCAAAGCCGAACCTAGTTGATCCATATAAGTTAAACGAATTACAATATAACTTAATAAACTCCGTACTTAATCCCTCGTGGGAAAGTGACCGGACAATTAGTAGTTACCCCGGCAGAGATGTCGACAAACCAAGCATCAGAATGGCAGCACGTGGAGCGTCTGACCACAAGCTTTGGCTCGTTCCCGCTTAGACCCGCATTAGCGCGTGCAGGGACGTGCGGATCTTTCTCAGATTACGTTATGGCCCTCGTTATGGGTCTTATAGGTTCGTTCCTGCTATTATTTTGCATATTTCATATATGTGAAGCAGATTTTGAATAGTTGAAGCTTCCTTCTTCAACTTACTCATCATGGGCAAGTTCCACGCCCGGTTGTACAAGACCGACCGTGCGCGGGACTTCGAACACGAACAGGTATGAACCCCCCACCTTGTGTGTTCAGGAATGTGCTGACAATGGTTGCGATGTAGGATCGATATGTTCGTATGCGACAGATTTACGAAACGATCGACCGGCAGGGTTTCCAATGGATTGTGGTTCTGGTCGCCGGTCTCGGGTTCTTCCTTGATGGTTATACTGTGAGTAACAAAGAATGAGGGGGGAATTCTGGATGGAATCCTCGGATCTTTCTTGAACAAACTCTGATATATGATCCAGCTGTTTGCCAGTAACATGGCCCTCCCGATGATCTCCTACGTCTACTGGAGAAACGATACCTCCTCATTACGACTCACATGCATCAACATCTCAACGTTAGCGGGGACTTTACTCGGACAAGTGGCTTTTGGATTCCTCGCCGATAAAAATGGACGAAAGAAGATGTACGGTGTCGAATTGGTGTTGCTGATTACCGCCACGCTTGGTGTGGTGATGTCCTCTCGTGGCGAGGACGGAAGTATGAACGTCTATGGGTGGTTGATCTGGTGGAGAATCTGCGTTGGCATTGGAGTTGGTGCGGATTATCCACTTAGTGCCGTGATTACATCCGAGTACGTCCATCCTCCTTGGGAATGTGGGAAAGGATAAAACTAACAGTATCAGATTTGCCCCGACGAAGCATCGCGCCCGCATGATGGCCAGCGTCTTCTTCATGCAGCCGCTTGGTCAAATTGCCGGTAATATTGTCTCAGTCATTGTGATTGTCATTGCTCGCAACAACAGTACAGGCGATGAAGACCTAACCCGCACGGTCGACATGATGTGGCGCTGGGTTCTCGGCATTGGAGTTATTCCCGGTGCAATCGCGACTCTTTTCCGATTTGCCATTCCAGAGAGTCCCCGCTACCTCGTTGATATCCAAGACGACCCAGTTACCGCGGAATTCGACGCAACGACACTCTTTAGTGAAAGCCCCGGGATGGTTGAAACTTCGAGCTGGGGCGTAGGGAGTTCGATGCAATTACCGCCGATCGCATCGATTGCTAGTACCAGCTCTATCCTCGACGATGACGAAGAAGAGCTTACCCGGCTACCGCCAGCTACTCTTAATTCGCACTGGCGACTCGCACGTACCGATATCATCCGGTATTTCTGGACGGAGGGTAACTGGCGCAGTTTGGCTGGTTGTTCTCTTGCATGGCTCCTGCTTGATTTTGGTTTCTATGGTATTGGACTATCGAGTCCTCAATTTTTGGCTAAGACTTGGGGTGCACTTCACATCTCCTCGGCCGCTCCGAACTGGATGACCGACGATAGGCCCCATGCCAACATCTTCCAGATGTTCTTGGATACCTCCGTACGCGGATTGGTGATTCTCAACGTGGGCAGCTTCGTCGGAGGTATCCTCCTTATTATCTTCGCTCATCGCCTTGATCGCGTCGCCCTTCAGAAGTACATGTTCCTTGCACTCGCCGCTCTCTTCATCGCCCTGGGAACGATGTTCGTCTGTCTCTATTCCGGACCCCCTGCTATTGTGGCATTATACATTCTGGGGCAAATTCTGTTCAACTTCGGTGAGACAAGCTAGTTCTCTTGATATTGAAACGAAGTGCACTAACAATCATCAGGCCCCAACGCAACGACATATATGATCCCAGCCGAAATCTTCCCAACCCGATACCGAGCAACCTGCCACGGCCTCAGCGCCGGCGCCGGAAAACTAGGCTCAATCCTCGTTCAAATATTCTCAACATACTACCACTTCGGCTCAGGGACGGGCGACGAATCAACCCGCAGGCACGGCATCGTTCTCCTTGTTTTTAGCGCCTGCATGATCATCGGCGCAGCAGTAACCCACTTCTGGATCCCACCTATCCAACAAAAACGCAATGGTCGCAGCAAGCTCTGGGGTGGAAAGCCTGAGACGCTGGAGAGTTTGGCTCTTGGACGTATGGGTCGGAAGAGTCGGGATGCCGATTTCAGGAAACGTGCTTCTCGGCATCGTGCGCTTTCAATGAGTGGCTAAACATTCTTTAGTATATTATTTCCTTTCTGTATTTCTTACCTTCTTGTTATATATTAGGCTTACATCTGCGTGGACTGGACATTATGAGACTGGCTTCCGGGGGTTCAGAGACCTACTATACATTATGGGATATGTGAATATAACCAATAGATACCCTCCAGTCCATTCGATTGGATATTAAAACGGGAAAAAAAGGAATTTCGCACACATAATCTATTACTTCATACCTCACAGCAATAACCACCAAGCAACCTCCCCATATCCCCCTCATCAAGATAAACGGCTACATCCATCCCTCCATCCCCAACAGCGGCATCCATAATCTGCAAACACCCCTCCATTCTGGGCATAACAGCATGAACATACCTCGGAGCACCACCAACCGCACCCCCACCCACAAAATCAACATCATACAACCCCAGCCTCGTCCAAGACGTAACAAGTGTATGCTCCCGTCCCAAAAACCCCTGCCAAAGCCGCTGCGGCGAGATCTCATGCGCTGCATCATGCAACATAGCCCCCATAGCCCCAGGTGTGAACCGCTTCATAGTATCTCGTATCTTGGCGGCTGTCTCGCCGAGCGTTGCCCGGCAGGTTTGTGACCCGGGCATGCCCACGTGAGTCAGGAATAATGGCGATCCGATAAATGTCTCCGGTAGGGCGGGTTTCACGCGTGGGCGTGCACCTAGGCTTAGATTTAGGTAGACGGGAGATTGGGAGGCTGTGTATTCTCGTGCTTTGGTGATGGATTTCCATAGGTGTGCGAGGAGGGCGTCTAGGCGGGAGATATCTGTTCTGGAATTTGCATCGGCTTGGGCTTGGGCTTGGAGATTGCGTATTTGTAAGCCTGAAAAGTGAAGTAGGGTGTAGCCGATGGGTCGGGTGATGTCCCATGATGACCAGGGCGCTGGTGTAGAAGGGGAGATTTTATTCTGCTGGATTGCGAGGCCGAGGTCTGCCGGTGGTGGCTTGGAGTTTTCTGTCGTTGGTATGCACATTTTTGGATAGCCCTCGTCGGCTGTATCCCACCAACTATAGCGATGCAAGGGTAATTCGCGTGCGGCTGTTGCGAGAGCCAAATCTGGCTCTGGGGCATCGATGTCGCCCGCAGCACAGCTGTCTAGTAATGCAGGATTGAAAACGGGATCTCCCATTATTGATGGTTCAGGCTTCTGGCCAAATTGCTTTTGACTGTTGGTTGCCCATAGATGCACGAATACCATCAACGTCTGCGCATCGGCTAGACAGTGTGCCATCTTGATTCCGATCGCGTATCCCCCGCCCTGGAGTAGGTTTATTTGTACTTGCATCCCTGGAAGATAGACGTAGTCTTTCAGGTTATGCAGTGCCAATGGCGTGGATGAGATGAATAGTCCTTGGTTGAAGTCACCGCCGTTCCATGCTCCTGGTCGATTGCCACTGATTGTCGAAGCTCGCTCTTTGGTTGTGGGGACTATCTCGTCCGCTCTTAATGGGTGTTCAATTACCCTCCATTCGACGCCTGGGTCGGCTTCAGTGCCATATACAAGTAACGGTCGATTGAAGCGTTCTGTGTGGCTTCCGTTGGGTTGGATTGGTGCCCACTGGAGTTGGCCTGCCCATTGAGGGAATTTCGACAGGGTTTCGATAAAAGCATCCCGGAGATGGCTGATAAATGTCTCCTGGTTCAGATTTGTGGGTTTTTCATCAAAGAACCAAATCGCACCTGTTGGGGCAAAGCGCGCGACCGTTGCGTCCAGGATTGACAGGGGTGTTGAGGTTGGTGCGGACTGTTGAAGCCTTGGATGTAGCCTCGTAGACTCGAAGGTCGTCATATTGTCTATCTGAGTGAAATCAATTGCTAATGCTTGTCACATTGACAGCTGATCCATTTCCTTTTTATCATTTGGTGATTCATGAGTCAAGATGCGTCAACTCTACGCCAAGACGCTAACTAGGACCAAAGCAGAGCCCGAGGGCGAAGTTGATTCTTTGTCTCAGAAAAGACACACATTCGGACAGACAAGGCTGTCGAGATGCGTATCGCGCCATTTTCTAAGTGTCGACGTCGTAATTGTCGGCTCCGGGCCAAGAATCAACATGGGTTCAATGGTTCAATGGCTCTGGGAAGAATTTCCCATTGCTTCTCAGAGACAAGTGACATACATATGTCCTCAGTCCAGAGTCTTGGGCAGATGGCTTGATTAGTGATGAAGTCCAACCTCGCACTCGGGGAATTCCCTAATTCCGGAATTTGCCGGAATTCAGCGACGGACAACTTGAAAATACCGAGCCTAGAAAAGACCAAGTTGCCTACACAATCCGCGGCATTTTCGCTTTATCAAAATGAACAGCGAAAATATACAGCCAAACCCGCGCAAACGCCGGCGCCCGGCCTTATCATGCGAGCAATGTCGTCGGCGAAAGGTGCGGTGCGATCGGGCAATGCCCTGTGGGCCATGTACAAAGTCCTACCCTCCTTTGGCATGCCAATTTGTCCATGAGGGGAAAGCAGTACTCGATGCTAGATCGGAAGTAGCAGCTCTTGAACAACATGAGCCTGTGATACGGGCTTCCAGCTCTCATGATGCGCCAGCTCATGCCGATAACAGCACAGCTAATGCGGCTCGGCTGGCAGAACTCGAGCGCAGCGTTTCTATGCTTCAGAATCGTGTCAAGGAGCTAGAAAAAGATCGTTCAGTGGGAAGTGAATTAACACAGGGTAGCACAGATCGGCCAGAGACATTGATTCCTCCCTTGGCTCCACATTTGAATTCTTCGAAGCAAGAAACTAAACTGTTTGGATCTACACATTGGGCCCATGTATTTCAAGAAGTGAGTCCTTTACTTTTGATTATGAGTCTTATCCCACTGACCCGATTTAGTTCCACCATCTGCGAGGCATCCGCGGCATGGCCATCCATGAAGGTGGCCCCAGAAACGAAATAAGCAAATCACTCAAGGAGGCCCGGACGCTGAGATGGAAAATCAAAATTTGGCAGAAGCCACACGTGTTAGATCCAACTCCAGACCTCTTGGGTGATCTACCACCAAGAGAAGTGTGCGACAAGCTCGTGCAATCCTACCTTCGAACGATGGAGTTGATCTACAACGTGTTGCATGTTCCATCTTTCAAACAAGAATATGAGGCCTTTTGGTTAGACCCACAGTCTACCTCCATGGGATTTCTTATCAAGCTTCTTTTGATTATGTCTATTGGGGCTATATTCTATTTCAAGCCGGGACCAGCCAATGAGCTCCATCTGCCGATTCGGCGTTGGCTCCATGCCGCGCAATGGTGGCTCACTGGTCCTACATCAAGAGAAAGCGCAACTATTCGGGGCTTACAGGTACATTGTCTGTTGCTCCTGTGTCGCCAGGCATATGCGATAGATAAATGGGGGAACTGGAACTCTGCTGGTTCACTGTTGCGATTAGCTATCAGCCAAGGTTTCCACCGAGACCCAAAGAGCTTTACAAGGCTTTCTGCTTTTGATGCTGAGATGCGACGTCGCATATGGGCGACAATCTTGGAACTGAATGTGCAACTTTCCATTGATGCTGCTATGCCACCTTTGATCTCGGTCGATGATTATGATACAAAACCTCCATCGAATCTGGACGATGAAGACTTTGATGCTACAAGCGAGACACTGCGTTCTCCGAAGCCCAAAAGCCAGTATACCGATTCTTCAATTCAGGTTGCTCTTATGCAGTCCTTCTCAACGCGTCTATGCATTGCCAGAATTATCAATGGGTGCAACCGTGAGCAGTCATATGAAGCAACCTTGGCCCTAGGAGCAGAGTTGACAGAAACCTCTAAAGAGACTGTAATTCTCTTTCGCGGCTATCTGGCTCAAGCTGCTGGGCGTGACAATGGACCAACCCTATTCCACCATCGCCTCCTTGATACGATAATTCACCGCTTCCTCCTCAATCTCTATCGCCCATTCACAATCAAAGCTCTCCATGACCCACGATTCTACCTCTCTCGAAAGCTCAGTATTAACTCTGCTTTGGTAATGACTTCGCATGGAGAGAGCAGCACCAATTCCGACAGCAAGTCGCAACAGTCAAATCAAGACTTCTTCCGGCTTTGTCTTTCAGGCGCTGGCCTCTTCAAGGGATATCTTTCCGCAGATGTCATAGTAGTCATTGGATTAGAGCTCATAACCCAGATCGAGGAAGAGACCTCCCGCCAGCCCACGGTGCCTTCAGCAGTGACACTGGACGCTGTCAATAAAATGGCGCAAGCCGCTCGAGCTCCGCTCCTGCAGGCTCTCGAGCGCATATCAGATCACCTGTATCAAAGCATGGCGGCGGGCATCCCAAGCATGAAACGATATTGTCTTCTGAGGGGTATAATCGCCCAGGTCAAAGCTGCTCATCGTGATGAGCAAAGCATCCAGGCGGCAATTCGTCAGGCATTTATTGACAGTATGGAAACTTGTCGGGGCTTTCTTCAGGAGTATATCTCAAGGGAAATAAATCCCTCCGATGCTGATGGGGCCCTCCTGCCGACAGGTGGTATGGATGGGTGGACACCTGACAGTGCTCTGGCGTCGAGCTTAAGTTCTGATTTTATGGTAAGCGATATATTGCTCCTTATATCTTCTCGTCGCGTGAATCAGTGGCTAACTCATTCCAGATGCCGGATCTTGGCTTTGATACATTGAGCTTCTGGGATATAACACCCATTGACACCACGGGGTTCGATGCATCGACGTTGTTGAAGGACTATGCATGATATATTCGAGAAACAGTTATATTCGAGATCAGTTTTAACTCCATACTCTTACGACTTAACTCGCCAATCCTAACTCGAGACACGCAAATGTAATTTTAGTCCTTCCCGTAATAACCGTGCACATCTGTATCGTATTCACTAGTAACTACAAATAAGTCCTTGTTATAGTACCGTAATTCCTCGTAGAAACCAATCGAATCTTTCGAGCAAACAGATCAAAAGAAGGGGATAATATCTGGCAAGACCTTTCTTCCACTTCCTTTCTGTTTTAGTTTGGTCTCCTCGTCACTCGTAGCTTCCGCCTACATTCATCTTATATCTAATAGGGGCTCTGTGCCGTAGAGAACTATACCCCATAGACAGAATTGCTTCTCTATTCCTATTATGGCTTTTGATATCTACTACCATATTCGTCTGTCACAAGCGTCTATTAAAAGCTGGATACTCCCGATAAGTCGGACCCTTCCTTTCCCTTCTTCCATCATAACCGAACGTTGCCATTACTAATAAGGGAAATTGTATAGGTGGGCACGAACACTGAACTAGTCAACTAGGAGAGAATAGAAGACACAAGTTTGGGGAAAAGCGAGTGTTGAAGAGAAGAGAAACTAGAGAGGAGCAAACTGCCACTTTATACATAAAGGTGGTAATCTGGCCGAGAGAACCCTGAAGCCACTGAACGAAAGAGAATTTAAGCCTATAGCACCTTATGCATAGCCGTGGGTAAGGGGCAAGGCCTAACTCATACTAGACGGCTCGTCAGTGTCAGTCAATTCGTCGATCACTTCGATCACTTCGATCACCAATATGCCTACCAAGAATGTTTATAGTTGGCTTGATTTTTCAGCAATTCGTTGAAACACTGCCGATGGGTCCAGGAAGGTCTCAGCCCGATAGCACTTCACACGCCCGGCATCATCCTTCCGGACAAAGAACACAGCAAAACCGGGAATAGTGATTTCGTCGGTGTCTAGGCTGTCACCTTTGACTAGATATCGGATGGTCGCGGCTTGATAGATACGAGGGGGAATATAGTCGAAGTAACGGATCTCGTGGGTCATCATGCCTAGTTGGCCGAGGACAGTTTTGAACATCTGCCGCACCTCGTTGCCCTTAATCACAGGGCTATTTGCATATTGCATCTCCACATCGTCGGTCATGAATTCGTCAAGCCATCGATCGGTGTTAAGGGTGGCACTCGCCCTATGGAACTGAGTATCGCTCTGAGTTAGTTCTCCTGCGATTTTCTGGAAGACAGAGCCTTACCGCTTCTAGCCACTTCAATACGGCGCCATTATCAAGCTCAGGACCGGCTGACATTGTGAAAATGAAATAAGGAGGGTCTAGGGTACGAGACTTATTGAAATACAAAATAAAATAGGCTTTCAAAAGCCCGCTGGAGACCTAGCATATAACTACCTAGCTCCTAAACATTGCTTATAAATTCAAAATTGACTAGAGCTCCGATTCATAGCACATCTCCGAGAAGTTGGACCGTGCGTATCTATCTTATCCAATCGCAGGTCCATATTCATTTATATCGGTGTTGGTCTGCAGATTTGATTATCTACACTGCAGTAGTCATTCAAAACTAGCCCCAAGCGGCCATAATCAGGCCCAACTCCAGAAAAGTCTTTTGTTCTGGTTGCCTCACCGGTGCGTCGGTATGAATTTGCGCTATCAGCCCCGACTGAAAGTTGGAGCGACATGGGGCTTTTTATTTTTTGATGGGTGATATGCCTAATAAGATATGAAGGAAGGATATGCCTCTTAGTTGAATTGTAGCGGAGTTGGATCTTTTTGCCCAATTAGCTACACAGAAATAAGAGATTTGGCAGCAATCTAGCTGCTGGTAAAACCACTTAGTTCCTAAAGTGGTTAGTACGGTTAGATTAAACTGATCAGAACACGGAAACCCCACTTAAACGTGTCAAACTCAGTACGGAAAAAGACAATGCCAACAAACAAGCCTCATCCAGCCAGTCAGGTCTACCTGCTGATATATAACACTGTCTGTGCGGCCCTTTGGCTTTATATCCTACTTGCCACGGCTTCCACGTTGATCTCTTCCCGGGATATCTTAGCCGTGTACACGTCGCTCGAAGCCTGGACACGATGTGCTCAAACCTTAGCTGTGGCTGAGATACTGCACGCCGCAACAGGTATATACACCTCCTGACGGCCTCTAAGAATTGATACCTAATTTTGGGCTATGAACCGCAGGACTCATTCGCTCTCCTGTGTTTACCACATTTACGCAGGTCTTTGCCCGCTCCGTCCAGGTCTGGGGTATCAACTATGCATATCCTGATGTCACTGGGCCCTCGCTGGCCTATTCGGCGATGCTTCTAGCCTGGGCGACAGCTGATGCGATCCGGTATTTGTATTTCGCTATTGTGTTGGCGGGATATCCCGTTCCGCGAGCTTTGAAATGGTTGAGGTAAGTCTCTTTCCTTTACTTCTTTATTTATTTAATTTTGGGTTTTTTTCTTTTTCTCTTTTGTTATTCGTCTATCGCACAGTCAAATTTGCTCTTGGAGAGCAAGAATTCTAAAATTGATGCTATTAGATACTCTCTTTTCACAATCTTGTACCCCGTTGGCATCAGCAGCGAATGGTGGTTGATGTTTCAGGCGACCAAAGTCACGGATAACCAGCCTGTGGCGGCCCTTTTTGCCTTCTTCCTGGGTCTATATGTGCCTGGTAAGTGACAAGTCCTTTCTCTTCACTCCGGATTTGAAACTGATAGGTGGCAGGCTCGGTGATGATGTACTCGTATATGCTCAAGCAGAGACGTAAGGTTTTGGCTCGTGAGTAAGCTCTTGGCCTTCTTCAAGTTGCCAGTGACCTAGATGTGGAGAGCCACCTGCATGACTTCAACCTTAGCTAAGAATACTTTACTCTGTGCTATTTCCATTCCCTTGTCTCTGAGCCTGGCGACCTATATCCATCTGTTAAGAGGCGCTGGCATGCCAAATTGTTGTTCCCTATCCATATCCAAGACGATCATACGGAGCCGGCGCGAATATAGGGAAGCAAATCCCAAAGATACTTCGTAAAAGTTGACTGGAGGCATTTGCCGATGCCACGTACTCCCTGTAGGACTCCATGACATACTGCTCCATGGCCTGAGTACTGAGGATTACTCCACAGCCAAACACCGCTGCTCCAATGTCGACGATGGTATAGCCGATCGCAATAGCGGCATAATGAACGCCGAGGGGACAGCTTCAGGATCAACTTCAGCAGGCTTGAATGGAATTTAATATGCAAACTTGACTGTCATCTCTGAATGCAGAGGGAAAGTAAGCTAGTTTATTGATGTGCTTGTTGATAAATTGACATAGTATACAATAGTTTGTACCAATCTTTTTCCACTGGAAGGATAAGATATCCGAGCATAGAGAGAATACACCAGCGGGCAGAAAAGTAGGTATATCACAGCTTAGACTCTGACCATGATACCGTGGGAAGTTTCAGCGGGTGCCCTCCGGCACTGAACACAAAGTCATCCAGACTAATCAGATCAGGAGAGCTGAACATGAGGTAGAAATATTTCAGAGTCTGCGACATCCAGAAGCTTGGCATAGAGTCCACGCGGATCGGCTCTCTGTCGACGGTAACATCAATGATAGCAGCGTTGCCATTTTCCACCTGAGTGGCATTTTGAATTGCCTGGAACATATTCCAAGCCATATCAAGCAAGTCCTCACGGCCAGTGATCCGATAAAGAGTAAAAATACTCTCAATTGCCTCCGGTCGCAGATTGCACGCGGTATCTGGGATACTGATGAACCCCCTGGGCAGATGATGATCTTTGATGAAAGCATCCACATTGAGATATGCATCTGGCTCGAGCTGTAGGCTGTGCGCTCGTTTCCACACTTCCTGCTTCCAGTGCCACTCGTTCCATGGGCAGTCTGTTTGCGATGCGCAAGGGACTGTATCGTAGACTTCTGGCATGATGCCCAAGGGCATGGTTTCATGCGCCCAGGTGCAACCGTCGACCAGTTTGTGTGCGATTTTCTTGTGCATAGGTATTTTGAACAGTGCACCTCCTAGTGCAAACATACCACCTGCAAAACAGGAACGGTATTGCACTTGTGATTCCAAGTGCGTGCGTGGCTTTCCATTTTGCGTCGTGAATACTCGAACAATGCCTGCTGTGAGGATGTCCTTTTCTTCTGGGTTCATTGGTCGGAAAAGATTGTGGCCCGCGGCTGTGAATGTGGCTTTTTCGTACATCTTGCGATACATCGGCACGTTGCCTCCAAGAAGGGCATATGCCCCAGCAAGCGACTTATACAGGGAATTTGTTTCTGTGCCCAATGTGAACATATCGCCATCAAAGAGCTCCGCTTTGGGATTAACAGAGACGGGCCACAGGCCTGAAAGCTTGGTAGAGTCCTGCTGTCTATCAAATAATTCCATGACTCGCTGGGCGGCGTCAAAATATTTTGGATCGCCCGTGATCTGGGACAGCCTGATAAACTCCAAGGTAAAAGAACCTAGCTCCGCTGCGAGAATCCCTTCCTCGGCAATCTGCTCTTCCTGTCGAGCAGCCCTGTGAGAGTCCCAATGGATGATTGGCATCCTATTTGGGGTGTCGAAAGCAGCATAGAGCATGTCGCCTAGTTCAGTGGCCTTTTTCCGCAACCTGAGATCACCGCTGAGATCGTACGCTGCCAAGAGACCTCCGAGGAGACGTGTGTTAACCTCATGAGTGTTGATTTCGGGCGATGCGGTATCTTGAAAGTCAATGTTTGTGACTGTGGCCACGACCTTCTCAAAGTCGTCACGCATTCCCATGATCCACAACGTATCGAGATTGTCCACCAATGTCGCACCCCATCCACCAAGACCGTTTGTGTGGGCACCACTGAGCGGTGCAAGCTCATCTGTCGACCAGGCAAGAGCCTCATATGATTTCCAGCATCGTTCGAAGGCGTTCTTCACGGCTAGTTGTCTGCTTCCCTGATGCCATAATGTGAAGTGAGATAATTTCGAGTCTACTAATTGGATCTTGGGTAGCGTGGGCAGTCCCACTGGCAGAGGCTGGGTCTCGGCAACTGGGAATCGCACAGGCAGAGTGCTCCAGAAGGAGTGTGGGTTGTCTTTGTCGTTTGACTGGTGTTCAGATGTATCCTGGACAGTAGGTGCAGAATTTGGGGGCTGAACATCCTCAATGTTTGTGCGGTGGTACCGGTATAGCAAGAGTAAGATGGAAGCTGCGAGGAGAATCCCGAACAGTTGACGAGTAGCCCGACTCATGATTTCACACTGTAGATCTCACCAGCATTTTCCATGTGAGGTATAGCAAGCATGGAAGTCTAGCAATGCAAGATTACGAAGGATGGAAAGTGTGACAAGAAAGGAGATGAAACTCTCCGCGTTAAAGCAAGCGGAGCTCTGGGCACGTAACGGAAAATTGTGAACATTCTCGGCTTTGCCAAGAGTGGAATAGGAATTCAATAGTGAGGAAGCTTCACGGGGTTCTAGACTTGTTCTGAACTTCGTTCCGATATCGTATACAGCTGACGACGCTTCCCTCCGGTGGGCGTTAGTTGCATTAGTTGCATGATTCGCCGCTCTTCAATTTGGGTTAGTATCGGTATTATAGTGTTAAGCTTGGGTATAAGCAGGTTCTATTTACGGTCAGTTTTCCCAGTTTGATTCACGGTAGGAGGATCCATGGGAACGCAATGAAGCAACAGTGCTTGAATCAACTCGGAACAGCAGAAACCACTATGTGGGGCCGACATGTTTCAACGGCCTAGTGCGACTGTTTAATTTGGAATACTCCAAGAAATAGCCAATTGATAAAACGTGTATGTATAAAGAAAAAGAGAGACACAATAAAAATAAAATAAGAAAAAAGAAAAAAGAATAGAAAAGAGTAGAGTACAAATGCAATTGTCATATTCGGGAACAAAACGAAAGTGCAAAAAGAAATGTGCATCATCCGTGAATCGAACACGGGCCTCGTCGATGGCAACGACGAATTCTACCACTAGACCAATGATGCTAGTTGATGTAAGGATGCCCACTAAAGTGACACATAGACCAGAGCGTTCAACATGAACAATTATTTTGTCCCCCACCCTCAGGGTTGAGGTGGAAAACTTTCTCTTGTTAATAATAATTAATTGCGTTGTAATGCCTTTGCACCCGCTCTCATTCTCAATCTTATTTTCATCGTGATAGGAATTTGGTGTAGTTCGTTGGAAAGTTGACATATATTTACATGTAACGTGGCCAAAAATAAAGTGCGTAACATTGGAAGCGATCTCGGGAGATCTCCACAGCGGGGAAGATGTGGT